CTGGAGGATCGGTTTTGTTCCAAGAACCACAAAAAACAAGCCAAGTCGAATGACAGATGGCAATCAAGTAAATTATGCTTAACACAACTATCGCTGCGATGATGATGGCAGTAAACACTTGCGTTTTTGGTGCCAATGGAATGCGAGTTGTGACCACCGAAGAAGAGAATAAAGGCCGTGGGAGGTTGGAAAGTGGTGCAGTACACCACATTTGTAACGAGAAGTCCTGCTTTCCTAAACTGAAAGAAGGCGACCAAGGAGATTGGACGTCGCTGAAGACGACTGGACCAATATTTTTGACATCGATAAAGTGAACAAAAACATTCTTCTCGCCACCAAACGCGTACGTGACCTCCAATTAATTAATGTGCTCTATGTGCCGAAATGTGGCGAAAAGCCTGTTTTGATACCGCAGATAAACGCATCGAACGAGTTCCAGGTTGCGCTTGATATTTTAAACTTAAATGTGCGGGATAAAAGCTCACGAATGTGTTCGTAAATGCTAAATTTGTTGTTAGTGAGCTTTACTGGCTGCGTATGCTGCCAAGTGCATAGAGCAAGTCCGCTATGATTCCTGCTCGGTAAAAGTCCAGTTCAATTCTGCACAAGCATAGGGATACGCGCCTTTCCAGTTCTACGTCTGCTTTAAACCCAAAGCATTTGAAAAGATGCTGACTTCCCAACTGCCCCGTAAGACATGAGCGCTTGCCACGGTTGCCGACATGAAAAAGGGTCAATAATTCATCTAATGTGAATAATGAAACACGTAACTTCGGCCTCTTTGAGCTCAGTACCTCGATATTTAGGGTCCTATGGAAGTTGATAACACCAGTGGAATCAGATTCTTTTTCCTTACCGTCGACGGGTTATGCGGTTTAATAAGGGGCTTTTACTGGCCAAGAAATTGGAGAGTGTAGCTTTACTAGTGAAATATGTCATTCAAGTCGGCTACCAGTTTGAAAACTGCTTCCAGTTCGTTCGGCATGACGGATACAAGAAGTTCTTAAAGACCTATTTCCAAAAATTTAATGCAGAATGAGGGATCGGATAGCAAGTCACAGCACCATATTCTCATCGAGCCAATAGAACAGCGGAGCGCGCCATTCGAAGCGTTGTCACAATTGGTCGCAGCATGCTTCATCATGCGAGTTTGGAGAAGGCTTTTGTCCGGGCCGAAGCTGCAATGACTGCAATTTATACTAAGAGCGGCTGCCGTCTCCCAAATTGTCTACGAAAACCCTATTCCAGATGGTGTGCAAGCTCAGAAATTGTAAAACACAAGCTTGTTTTTGGATGATTGTAATACGATATTACGCGGGTTAACAGAAGCTTTAAAGTGGGACCCTAAGTCCATACTGGGCGAATTTATGGGATAAGAAGACAGCTTCAGAGCTTACCGAGTGTGTGAAATCGAGAAATGCAAGATTGGGATCAGTTGCTATGTCAACTTGATGAGTCTGTCAATGGAACGATTTTACTTGGCAGCATAAAAATAAAAAGTATAAGGTGGATGAAATCGCTACTCAGCTTGATGAAATGGCTGTTTAGGGCACACATGACAGTTCAAATTTCCACTATATTGGTAAACGCTCTGCCTGTTACTCGTCATAGCCTGACAGTTCGCCAACAGCACTAGTCTCGACATGGATGAAGGACAATAATACCAACTAAGATGCTCGGGTTCGATGATCAAACCCGTCGACGTATCGAACCTACAGAGTGGTAGCGAGAAAGTGCAAATCTGGCTCAAGTCTGTGACTTTTCTGATCCATCCAATGGTACGAAGCTGTAATTGGCTCTTGTCAGGTACATTGGTGCAAAGCGATTGAAGACGAGATCGCCTAGGTGCACAGTCGTGATTTATTTTGTCCTGCCACACTTCCAAGTAACCATAGTGCTGTGGACACCAAATAGGTGTTCGAAATCCGGTGCAACGATGATGGTTATATCTTAAAGTGTGCAAAATTTGTAAATGTTACGGGGCTGATTGAGTGTGAAAGTGGTGTTACCCTGTGCCAGCAAAGCTAAATTAAGTACATCCCAAAGCGATTCGGAATGGAGACCAGCAAGTCTGTATCGAGTCCAGTCTATACCAGCTTGAAAATTGTAAAAGGACATACCTCGAAAACTTCAATCTACGATCCGTTCTGCGAGGCTGCTGGTGCTTTTAGGCAAGTGATGTGTGCGACTTGACTCGCGTTTGCTGTTGAAGTGTTTGGTCGATCTGTGGAGTATCCGCAACTAGTACACTACACCGCAGTAAAACGTGTATTTTGTACTTACAAGGCGCTCAATTGCATAGTGTATAACTCATATCGGATGGTGACCTCAACTTCAAGTGCTACACGGACGCGGACTGGGCTGGGGACATTGCAGAACGAAATTAATCGTTAGGATCTATGCTTTTTATTATCTGGTGGCCCTATGATCTGGGCAAGCAAAATAAAGTTAAGTGTCTCAAATTCAGCAAGCGACGCTGAATATGTCACACTAAGCCTTGCTATCAGCATAGGCGAATGGTTGCATGTTCTGTTTTGCGGGACATTGGACGCTGCTCATTGGAAAAGCCCGATTCCAAGATTTTCAAGACAATCAGTCATGCATTAAGATGACCAAGAACCCAGAGAACTATGGTCGAGCAGAACTACAATGACGTCACATATCACCACATCCGCGATAAAGCGATATCCGACGCATTCGAAGTCAAGTATTGTAGCTCATTGTCAATGCTAACTGATGTACTCACAAAAGGTCTGCCTGGACCAGGCCATCAGAAGCTCACCAGAGACACTGGTATTCAACGTCGCTAACGTTGAAAAAGCTGTACTATACCTGTATTCTGGCGCAATGCATCACGGGCCGCAACATGTTGGTGATGCTCTAGCGGTTCTATCAGAGGTCTCATGGCCTGGGAGAGAATGGCGAAATCAAGTAAAAGTATTCATTCTATTCGGCATTGGTTATTCGCTCGGACGTAGCATCCACATTTCAGCAACGGACTTCTTAATCAATCACTTTCTCATTTGCAATCTTAAAGCAACGTCGTGGTCTTTATTCTAGCCTATTGTGCTGTATCGTGACCGGGGAGGCGGCTCTGAACGCAGTTTGGCATCGCGCCTCTCGATATCGTTGTTGTCGAAAATGTTAGCTTGGCTGATGTTCGTGGGAGCGCCCGGGGTAGAAAAACAAAACGGATGTCGTAATGATTCCAGTGCAGCTGGCGGAAGGATTGTAAGCTATAAAGCCAGCTGCTGCGAGTATCGATCAGCATGTTTAGTGCTGCCTTGGCAAACTCGCCGTGCAGCATAACATAGATGCTTTTTGCGTTCGTATCGATCCCAAACTCGCGTCATTTTGTCCACAATCTTATGCGAATCATAGTATTAGACTTCAAATCCCGAATTAGTGGCAAATGTTTCCACTAGTACACAGCTGGGTACAAGTCGAAAAGCGATCGTCAACTCTTTTTTGGATCAGATCTACAAGCATAACGCTCGTGTTCACTACTGTTGTACGCAAGCGCTGACATAAAGAAGCTTTCATGTAGCAATTCATCCACAGGGTATGTCGCCCCTCAGTAGGCCGATCACGAATCCCGCGATTGTGGCAAATCTGAAAGGTCCGTCCAAGACACTTTCTTGTGGCAGACCCGACGGCTGGGTGAATATCAAGCTTTCGTCTTGCCTTTCTGCCAGTTAGCTTAACATACTAGCTTTTCACGGGACACTTATAATGCAGGCGAGATTGCTAGCCTGCACGACCTTGTCTTTACGGAAAGCAGCTGCCACTCGATTGAAAAGGCTTCGAAACATGCTTCTTCGACAGCAGCAAGGCCCAACGGATTCAGCCACATGCCGTTTTTATACCAACATGCTTGAACAAAAACACGCTCGCTTCAGAACACGCTTGCTTAAAAACACGCTCGCTTAAGAGCGTGTTGGTATAGACAAGGAATGTGGTCGGATATCTACCTTGTGCAAAAGTTTCCTCACAGCAGAGCCGAGTCCCTCGATTCCTTCAACATTCTGTAACTCAAGTCTGCAACGTGGACTAAAGTGGTATTTTGCACCCATATTGTACATACTAGAGCGAATTGTTGCCATATTTCGAGGCTTCATGCTTTGTCCGTGCGAGAGGCTAAAAAGAAATTTTTGAAGTGTTTAGACGTTTATTCGTATCCGATTGGTCATGAAACAAACGACTGTACGGAATTTTGCATTACTTTTATTCAGTGTGCGGGAACACAGACACAAATAAACTCATAACGGTCTCAATTTTTATCTTTTGCATACAAGCGTTTATGATATTCTCTATATCATCACAAATGAACCATCAGTCAAAATCGAACGCTCCGCGGTCTCGAACTTATGACTGCCGCACCATCACTACTCAACATCCACATGCCGAGACATAAAAAGAGGGTATTGCTATATACTCACCACATTTAGCAAGTATACCCCATTGGGTGCATAATTTTTTTTTTAAAATGAGGGTCACAACTAGCGCCAGCGCAGGTTAATCATGTTTGAGGTTAATCATGCTTGAGGCTCGCCCCCTTTTTTTTGCTTTTCCTATGGCTTTTCACCGCACGACTACATGACAACAGCAACACGAGCGATTTCCGGAATTACATCGGGAAAAGTTGATCTCCACCCGTTCCCGCTGACTTGTTGTCATCACATCGATGTCATTCTTGTCGCAATTGGGCGTTCAGTTGCCACAGGCCGTGTTAAAAACCTTCACCAGCCGCCAAGCCTGAAGTTCTCCAGCCACCTTCTCATCGTCATCGTACTCACCTCGCTACCGCCATCTCACCACTTTGAAATATGCGGTGCTTGAGCATGCCAAATCCTTGCTATGGGTGACAAGACTACCATATTCACACTCAGCTTCATGCGCCCAATCGAGTCAAACGACTGGAGACTATTGCAACTGAATTGCCTCCCGCACGCGACACCTGACGCCTCTCTTGAAGCCCTCACTGCACCACAAACGTGACTCTACATCTTCGCCTCCTCTTGTTCTTTACTGCTGAGGCGGATCAAAGTGAGACCGTCCCATAGCGGCATAACGACCTGTGTCGTCCGTGCATCTTGAAGCACGTAGCTGTTGAACTCCATGAGACTGCGAGCAATACGCTCCTTGCTGCTCGCTTCCCCACTCGCGCACGCCGCGACGCGACCACGAAACAGCGTGTTGTCAAAGACTAACAAACCCGAAGGATGCAGCAGGTTGTGCTGGAGGATGAAGTCGTAGTACGCTCGGTACTTGCGCTTACTGGCGTCGACAAAGATCAAGTCAAACGGCTGCTGATCTGGACACGTTGATGGACGAATCGAGTGCAAGAACTCGAGTCCATCTTGATTCACGGCCGTGATCTGAGCTGCATGGGAGCTCTCGTTGAAAAAGCGCTGTGCAAAATTCACGCAGTCAGCGTCAACGTCACATGTGATAAGCTCCCCGTCGGCAGCCAAGCCACTAGCGAGGCACAGCGCCGAGTAGCCAGTAAAGCAGCCGATCTCCAGTGCCCGTTGAGCCCTCGTACTTTGGACGAGGAAGGAGAGAAATTTTCCCTGCAGCTCGTCAATGAGCTGCTCCGCCTTGAGCCACTTCCGTGCCGTCTCTTCTCGCAGATTCCTTAGCAACGCGTCATCATTGAGACCACTACTTTGAGTATAGACATAGGTCTGTTGCAGTTCCGACTCGTCGATATGCTTCTGAACAGCTCGTGAAGTCGACATATGACGCGTGAGATTCTTCTTCTTCTTCTTCAGCTGCTGCTGCATGGGTATGTACTCATGGGTTAGAGTAGAGGTTAATAGTAGTTTCAAGTCGACTTTACCACTTGCACCTCGAGCCTGTCATGTAAGTAATCGATCCCGACTCAGATGTTGAAGTTTAATTTCTTCGTGATCACAACAGAGGCATCAAGGATCGAACTTACGCGGGTTTTGGACGTTATGACCTGTGGTAGACTTGAGTAAGTCCATCGGTGGTGGAGATCGTGGAGTGGCTGCTGGACACATTGGAATTGGAGTCTTTTGAGCATTTTATTGGTTTGCAACGCCACACTGAGGGTTTGACTCGGCGTGTGTATCAAAAACAGTGGGGCACCGGGTTCGCCTTTTTCTAAAGTCGGAAGAAAAAGTGTTTTTTTTTTGGCTGAGCGGTTTGGATTAAACTAGAACGTGAGATGAGGTATGGCTTGGGCGCCTCTCTGCGACTCGTGCCACGTCTCCAGGTGCCGCCTCTGCTTCCGTTGACACGGCATCGTCTTTTCGATGCTCTGGACCATCATTGGACAAAGTCTCAACGTCGTACGTTGAGTACGGACAAAGTCACTGGGATATCTCAACCTGCTTGTCGCCGCCAATACATTAGTTTCTATAACTACACGCCTCTGGATCGAGACCAGCTGCCAAAACTCTGCCAAGAAATGACTGATTACTGGGGTAGATTGGGGGCTCTTGGACGCGTTTACATTGCGGAAGAAGGTATCAACGGTCAGCTGGTAGTGCCGGAACCGGCGGTAACTGTCTTGGAGCAGTCATTCCCGAGCTTGCTACGCGGTGCGAAGCTCTTCTACGGGCATTTGCTTGACAAAGAGGTGCAAGATGAAGAGACTACAGATGGCAACAAGCCTGTGGAGCCGTTCAAAAAGCTCGATATTCGTGTCCGTGACCAGATATTACGTGATGGCTTTGACAAGGGCGCCCTGAATTTAGAAGACGCAGGACGTGAGTTGTCACCTGAACAGTGGCATCGCAAGCTTACAACGAGAAACAACGAGTACGACTCGGATGTGCTAGTGCTGGATGTGCGCAATTTCTACGAGCACGAGATCGGACGCTTTGAGGGAGCCACTCGAGTCATGGTAGACACGTTCCGAGATACGTTTGACGCGCTGGATGAGATTCTAGACACGCATGAACGGGAGCATGATGGACGAAAACCGAAAGGGGTCATGGCGTACTGCACCGGAGGAATTCGCTGCGAAAAGGTGGCCGCGTACTTGACGCAGTACAAAGGTATCTCGAACGTGCAAAAGCTGCATGGCGGGATCGTGAACTATACGCGCTTTTTGAAGGAGCAGCGGCATCATGCACGAGCTCGGTCAGTGACTGATGGTGGCGGATCAAAGAGTGATGATGGCCGTATCAACGTGGACGTGTCTTTGTTCAAGGGCAAGAACTTCGTGTTCGACCAGCGCTGTGTGAGTGACTTGACCGTGTCCGAACAGGTGACGGACGACGTGTTGGGTCGATGTTTCCAGTGCGGCGAGCCGTGCAACCATCACATCAACTGCAGTAATAGCATGTGTCATGGCCTGATCTTGCAGTGCTCGAAGTGCGCTAGAAGCATGTTGAGAGCATGCAGTGAAGCGTGCAAGCAAGAATTTATCAAGATGATGGCGATGGCTCCAGACAAGCAACGCAAGTACAGGAAGGCGAACGCCTTGAAGTGGAAACCGAGGAACCCAAACTCAGTGAAGTTTATTAGATTCAGACCAGCTCCCCCCGAGTTGCTGACCAAAGTATAGAAGCCAAGCTATCGACTTGTTCGAGCCTGTAATCATTGCAAGACTTAGAGCGTAAACGCCGTATACCCAAGTGCGCTGACACGAGTACGCGTTTGCTCATCTTTGTAGAGGTACATTCTGTTGCACTGCGTAACAAATATTCAGGAGTCTTCGATGAACCTCTGCTCAATGAATAACGAACACCCAAGGCACTCGCCTTAGTATGCCCGACTAGATCGTTCTCTCCATCGTTTGTAAGGTGGATCGTTAGCGCCTCCCCTTCGTCGATTCTGCTGTGCCGACTCTGCTGCACGCTTCTTGTTCATTTCCTCATCACGCCGCATCTCGTACTGCTTGCGAATCGCGGCCGTCTTTTCGGGATCGTGGTGTAGAACATCGAAACCAAAACTATCAGGCGCATCTCGCTTTATCAGGTTACTATCTCCCTGAATAATCGTGCCCAGAATGCTACCAGAAAGAGATTTGAAGCGACCATGACGGCAAATTTCGTTCTGTAATACTTGACGAGCATAGTCGAAAGAACGCTGGACCGTGCGAATTTCAAACGAATTCTTGCCAACGTCCAAGCTCGGTTCATTCGGGTTTTCCATGGCGATCAGAAAGGGTCGTCCAGCATCACACCAATAGCGGTCTTCCTTATAAAAGTATGAGCCACCATTTCGCACCGAAATGCCAAGATCCGTGTAATTAAAATCCCTTCCGTACAACGTAAAGAATCCCACCAGCAATTGCCCCAAATTGTTAAACCTGGGATCATCGTGTTTAGCCCCCAGTGCACGTCCATTGTGCTGTAAAAAGCTCACGACCATGAGCTGTAGCAAGAAAGACCCCACACCACCCGAGTACGTCTCATTCAGTCCTCGCTGCGCCATAAAGTACTTCAGTACAAGCGTCAGTGGACGGAACGACGGGTACACGCGCATAAAGTGTTTCACGAGGTCACCCGTGGCCAAGCCACCTGCTACATTAAACGACACGTCGACGTGGATGTCGCTAGCTTTGTGCACCATCTTGACGATCGGAATCCGAGCCTTGTGGATCACCTCAAGATAACTTACCAAGTCCTTCTCTTCGAGACACTGCGCGAGTTTAAACAGCGGCTCCGTTCCCCCAGGAACACCAAAGAGCACCATGTCAATGTCACTCTGAGGCAGAAACATTTGCGTGTAATGGGAGCCAAAGGTCTCGACCGTCGCTCCTGGCCACAGCTCCTTGACGATCTCCCGCATCTCCTGAATAAGCTCCTCCCGACTCCATCGTTCCTGCTCCGTGGGACTCACGAACCGCACAAAGTCCATAATCTCCTCATGGAGACGTGCATAGACGTTCGGCGTCCCGTACCGCGCCTTCTCTTGCACCATCCACGGCCGCACGTCCAGCGTAAGAAGTAGCAGCAGCAGCAGCAGCAGCGTCTGTCTCCTCTTGTGACGTCTCGTGTGTTCTATGTCCACTTGTGCTGTCCTCTCCACGTCTGCCACGGTTTGTACTGGCTTCAAACTGGATGAACCCATCGTCCACTTCAGGCTGAAGTAGCGCGTCACTCGTGTTGTTGTCGCTGCTGCTACTTAAGCGCTCCTTCTTGGTCCATCGTTTCTTGGCCTCGACTTTCGTTGCGTGCTTCACCTTGGCCTTGGCCTTGATCTGACGCTTCTGTCTCTTCTTCTCCGCACTGCTGACGGCCTTGTCTTGATTGTAGCCATCATGGCGTCCGCTCATCGCCTTGCGACTGGCCGCCGTCTTGGCTCTCGTCTTCATTATCACGTCCTTGGGGACGCTACGAATGACTCGTCGGGGTGTACCAGTGAAAAGGGGGTACGCACGTATGTACCCTAGGGCTGGCTGCGAGCATAACCCGTCGGTCGGTGTGTCCACGTGGACCACACGACGCTCGTACCCCGTAAGTACGAGATGACAGAAAAAAGCCGGTCGTGTCGTCGTGGCCAAGGTGGAGGTTTACGGAGGTCGCTGATCGACGGGAGGTCACGTTCGACTGGTAGGGCAACGTCCTTGATGTTTGTAGGTGGATGAAAACAACGGAGCTCCTGCCATCCGTCCGCCACGTCCCCATCGGTCGGTTCTCGTTCGGCCGTTCAGAGTCGACGCAATCCGAAAGATTCCGGACGCGTGACGCAATCGCCACAAGCGCAGGCGACAGAGTGAGCGAGCGAGCGAGCGAGCGACCACAGGCCACATACAAAGAGCAAGAGAGAGAGAGAGAGAGGCGAGACGACGGTGCATCCTCATGTCGGAGAAGAACTCGCCGTCGCCATCGCGCAGTCGCTCCGCGTCGCAAGCGAAAGGGTCCGACCAGGAGATGACGAGTCCAGCGCAAGGAGACGCTGCTGGGGAGACGCGGGCGTCCGAGGACCAGGAGATGCCTGGAACTGATACTGAGGCTGTTGCTGCTGCTGCTGCTGCTGCTACTTCTGAGGCTACTGCTGGGGCTGGTGGGGGTGATCGCGAGGACGCGACGGTGGAGAATCCAGGGAATAATCTGTACGTGGCCAACTTGGCGACACGAGTGAGCCAGGCTGATCTGCAGGAGCTGTTTGACAAGTTTGGACGTGTGAGCAAGTGCGAAGTGATTGTGGACCCCGTGACGCGCGAGTCGAGGTACGGAAAAGTGGGGACACGTGGGTGTCTTTGTCCCCATGAGGGTTACGTGGAGGGATATGTGGAGGAGTAGAGGCTATGGGAGACGGCCTTATCGAAGCCGCGTGTATACTGACGTTGTGGTTATGGTTGCGGTTGTGTTGGACAGGGGGTTTGGGTTTGTTACGTTTGAAGACGTGCGGGATGCTGAGGACGCCGTGAAGGAGCTGAACAAGTGCGTTGGAACGGGGTTCTGGCTGGAGTTGAACGGTGTGTGTGTGAAGCTCATGGTGTTTGTGTTCGTCTCTTTGTTGGAAACGATGACAGCCAAGAGGTGCAGGGTCGCAAGATTCGAGTTGAGCATGCGAAACGGAAGCGTGGCCACGAAAAGACTCCAGGACAATGTGCGTAACGAAGCGCAGGACGTGGTGGTGGATCTGATTTACTGGTAGTTTCGGTGCTAATTGCTCTGCTGTTTTTTCGTGCTGCGACGGCGGCATCTAACTTGATGTAGATCTTGGACCGAGACTTGCTAGCGCAAAGTACGGTGGACGCGATCGCCACAGTGGGGGCCGTAGTCGAGACCGAGGACGGCGGAGTCGTAGCCGAGACCGAGGCGGATTCTCGCGGCGCAATGACGACTGGGACCGCGGACGTGGTGATGACCGAGGACGTGGTGATGACCGAGGGCGTGGCCGCTATGATAACCGCGATCGCAGTCGAGGGGACTACGGTCGCGACATGGGCGACGATCGACGTCGCCGGTAGGCTGGGCGTACCTTCGCCTGTGTTGGCAGGCAGGCACCGTTGCATCTTGCTCCAGGTGCTCTGGATTGGACCAGAAGAAAAGATGCTACCCTTCGACCTCCAGCTTCAACAACGACACTTGCCCATTCCTCCTGCCTGCCCAGCTTGTGTTAACCCATCTAAATAAATCCAAGCTCGTCCAATAATCCATCGGACCCACCGCATCAACGGCCGCCGACGTCGGCAATATTCAGCAGCAGCTCCGCTCACTCTGATCGACAAATCAACAACTCGATCCGATGACAAGCAGAGAATCGTCCTTCAAGCCGATTGCCTCTTCATCTATTACGCGCTGGTACAGCTGCATCGTCGCCAACAATCCAGATGTCGTGCCGTGCCAACTGCGTAGCGCAGTCGAGTTAGATGATCAATCGCCAGCACTTCGGATTGTTGGATCCTACTCTACTCGCTTGTACACCAGCATGCTCGACACGACTTCCGGGGAATCTGCATCGCCACTCACGTCGCTATGGTGGAATGCGGCTGCCTGTGGACAAGAAACCAATCAAGTTCAGCTCTGGCCAGTACAACAAAAATGTCAAGACAAGCGCACCTCGACGAAGTTCGTGTCAGCTAGAAGCGACCTGATTTTCTCCCCAATCGTAGAGTACGTCACGACGTACGTTGGAAGCTCCATGAATGAGGAAGGTTCACTGGCGAGATTATCCAATGGCGATAAATGGTAAAGTTTTGTGATGAAACGCCTCGGATCGTGTTCAAGCTGGTACGACTCGCTGCCTTCAGCTCGCTCACGGTTACTGAATCCAGGACGAATTGATGAGCGCGTGTTGACCACAGCGTTTAAAACAACGACCATTCTTACGCTGGCGAGCAGTCCGGAAACCACATGGAGACATTCTGATGTAGATAACTGTAGTACGGCGTTGCATGACAAGGAGTCCAGAAGTGAACCGTTGCCTCGGGGGTTTCTGGATGGTGGGCAGGCGAAGAAACAAAAATGGATCAGTAACCGCATACACAGTGTGAAAACTACCGGGTAGACTGACAGCGCTTACGCTGAATGCGGTCTGCGAGATAGTCCATCACTTCCTCTGGAGCTCGCTACATTTCGGGTGAAAAAAGTCAGGCAGACCGCATTCATGTATCGAGGTTGAGCAACGCACCTGGTGGTTTCGAGAGAGATAGTAGGCGGTGAGCACATTCGGCACAATGACCAAAGCAGCAGCGAGCCGCAGAAGGGTCAACTGCGTGCTATCGCGAACCTGAACGTAGAGCCCCAGCTCCAGGTTACGCAAGCAGTATCCAGCATACATGAACGCGGGCGGAAGTAGTGGAAGGACGAACCGAAACTCTGCCAACAGGACAAACGGGTGTTAGAACAATCGCAGGGTGTGAAATTGATGGATTACCGAGCTCACCTTTGTGAGACGCGTTGCTGTAGATGAAGAGAGCCGATAGAATCGTACGTCCAATGTCTTTCTTCGAGGACTCAAGAAAATCATGCAGGAGAACAGTCTTAGTAAAACAAATTACAGCTTCCTGAGTATCAAAACTCAGACGTGCTTACTGGAATAGTGAAGTACCCAACAAGCACTATCGGCAACGCTGTGCCTACGATAGCTGGATAACCCTGCAAGAAATACCAACTCCATGGGTGCTCACCATAAAGCTTATCCTTACCCTAAAAACGTACGAGCATGAGGTCAAAATATTATGCGAAAAAAGACACGATCAACAAGTGCCTCAACAGAGACTCACCTCAAGGACGTTAAACTTGAAAAAATTGAAAGGTACGAACGTCCACTCGCCATATCCAAGACGATCGATGCACAACATCGCCAACAAGGTGACAATCGCAATGGGCAACACAATGCCGAACACAAGATGCGCTCGGTCGCGAGATTGCAAAAAATGCAAGACTCCAGGATACAGCCAAATGACAACATCCGTCGGACGAAAGAGCACACCCAGCGCTGCGAACATGAGTGCTAGCGTGCGATGGGTGTGCTTCATTGAGCTCGCATTGCTTCTTTTTTTCTGCTCAGCTCCGTCCTCCTGTCACCACCAAGCATGTATCAGTACTACTGCTCATAAAGTGCCAATCGCTTCCTCTCCTGACGTACCAGAAACTTCCACGGCCACAATGCCAGCGCCGCCGTCGTACACACCGTCTCAACACAGTTAGAGAACGGCCGTACCATGACGTAGAAGGTAAACCACGAAAACAGTTGACACAAGAGCGCCCACTTGGCCGCCTTTGCATCAACATAAACCCACGCCAACTTGAACAGGAAAAAGTCGTTGGCAGCCGCCAAAAGTCCCTGTCGATATTCACATCAGGAGCAAACGTGCTCGTTTGACTCGACTTTTGCAACAAGAAAATGCTCACCGAAACTCACCTGCAGCAGCCGCGGACCGTACGCAACTGCCCATCGCGAGTCCAAATTCTATAGCACACAGGCCGTGTTAGAGACTGTTCGAGAGCACGATAAACAAATTCCGCAAAGATGATACTGTCATTCACGGAGCTCACCAGAAGATGCAGCAGCTTATAGAAACCCGCGAATAGACCCGGGTGCGCAAACCCACGCAGCTGAGCGTCATCGTGCCACTCCCACGTTCTGCGAAAACATCATGACATCCAAGAGCGAAAATAAAACACACATCATGGAGACGAATACGGAGACGTAATCTATAAAATATGTGACCGTAAAGTATCGCGAAACGCACAAGCATCCATAGCCAAAGACGAGACGATGCGCCACCTCGGTGCTCTGCCAATACTCGTCCGGGTTAAAGAACGTGCGTACGAACAGTGCGTTCCAGAGACGAAAGGCTACGACAGCCGTCCAAAAGACGCGCGTCGTTAAGAGCGCTTCCCACATCTGTGCGGGTATGATAAAGTCGGTAATATATATTTCGATGAATATAAATTACCCGTGAGACAGACAGAACGATCGTCAGACAAACAAACAAAACAGCCGGTCGGTCGGAGCTGTAATCAAATAACTGAGACGAGGACGGTTCCAAAATTCGTCATCAACACTATACCCCTTTCTAAATAAACGAACAACATGCACATCTTCTTGGTCGCTTGTCGAGCATGACGAATGAAGCTAGCGCGACCGTGGGTTGAACACCTCGACCGTCTTTGTGAGAGCTTCAACAAGCGGTTGGACGACGAAATCGGGAGTCTCGCGTGTGCCAACTTCGAGTCGAGAGGCAGCAGTTGGCACAAAGAATCGCGTCCCTCGCGAATGGCGCATGCCTTTGCCAGCTGCATGGGCAATTGACGACTGCCACATCTCGAGCTCCTGCGTTGAAGAAGCCACTAGCACCACTTCACTCTGTACACGCTCCACGACTTGACCGCTATCCAGCTGCAGTGTAATCAGTGGCTGCGACCGAGTGGCGTTCTTGATGCGCAGGCAGCGGGCATCACCCGCATCCGTCTCAAGCCGCACATCGCCAAGTGGGATGATACCGCGCAGCTGCTTGCGATTGGAAAAATAGTAGAGGCAGTTGCGGCTCAGGACGAACCAGCGACGCACTGTGGAGAACCCGCCCTTCTTTAGCAAGTAGCCGTTGAGACTCGTGTCAGAAGGCCAGAGTTCCTGCTCTTCAGCAGTCACTGAGCCAAAGCTGTGCCACATGACATCCAAGAACACGTTCATGTCTCGCGCGTGATTGTCAATTGTCTTGAGCAACGGCCGCAAACGCGGACCCATTGGTAGACTGTCCACACCAACACTCAGATGGAGGAGTATCTGCGCTGCACTTTTCTGCCGTTCGACACGGCAGATGTATCGCAAAGGTGTCATCCATTCTACCACAGGATTGGTGTACGACCCCACGTTGATGTAGAGCACGCGCTGCTCCGTCACGATTAGCCAGTGCGTTAGCTGAACCCTGATCTTCTGAGTTAACTCGTCCGTTTCGTTCTCTACTTCCGAGTCAGCTAACGATAGCCGGCGCAACCGCGCCTTGCTTGTCGCTCCAACTTCAACTCCTCCACTATCCTGGTGACCAGGCTCGAACGAAGTAATGTCCTCCATCAGCTCTTCTGCACTTTCAAATTGAACGGTGATAGGTCGAGCCGTGCCACGCAGTAATGCCAGCGTCTCGTGAAAGCCGATGTTACGTACGTCCACGCCGCCTACACCAATAAGACAGTCTCCTTCCTGCAACACCTTTTGTCGAGGAGCTACTAGGCTAGAGACCTTGACTTTCGACCGAGCCGCCTCATCCATCGCTTTGATGGTCACATTCTCACCGTAGAAATCTGTCTCGAGATCCATCCCCAGCTTTTTCTGGTGAAACACTACCTCATACCGAAGTTTGCGTCCGCCGACCTCGCTTGTATTTTCATTTGGAGGCTCACCAGCAGCACGTCGTTTTCCTGCGCTCTCTTGCAGGGTTCGTCGTAGTGAATTCGTCCGTCCGCGGGTTGAATTATTGTTGCTCATCGACTTGCCGTTTCCAGCCCCACCACTATGCCGTCGATCTCGAGCTTCACGCGTGAGATCTGCAGCACGCACAGACTGCAAGATTTCATTGTAAAATACAATCTTCTCGCTGGACAGCCGATCACCACCGACCCGCTTAAGAAGTTCATAGGCAATTGCATCAGCTTCCTTGTAGCATTTAAGCTCGTTGTAGCGTCCGAATACACGCGGTCGCCGAACCCGTCCCATATTTTGTCCGTTCTGCAGTGAGCGGTTGCGCACACCTTGAGTGGTGCGCGATGCAAAATCAAAGAGGCCTGCCACAGGCTTGACGGGAAGACCAATGATGCCAGTAATTGTGCCACGCACAAAGCCTATGGCGCCGCTCTCATGCGCACCTCGCATAGGGTTTAACATGAGGCCAGCAACACCCTCGTACACACCAAGGCTAAGTTCTCGTGAGCCTTGCACCAGCCCTTCACGTAGCCCACGAACGTGGTGGCGACGAGCGCGGGCACGATTCTGTTGGTAGCGATCGTCAAGGCTCAAGTTTGCAAATCCTTGTCCAAAAGTACCCGAGATCTTGCTTGCTGCGTCGAACGTACCATCCACCGTGTTTGACATCAGACTAGCCGTGCCTTTTGCCAACCCTTTGCTGAAGCCCTTACCACCTATTTTCAGCCCTTCCAGGGGTTCATAGACAAAGTCACGCACTCCTGTACCAATGTGATCTAGAAAACCGACAGGGTTTCCTAAAAAGTCAAATGACCCCAAAATCTTGTGGAGCTGTTTCCACAACTGGCGGGTATAATACTTCGACACCCGGCGAGTAAGGTCACCACTCGTTCCAAAGGCATGTTCAATCATCAATGCGTTCAGGCGCACAGGGGCGTTATCGAGATCAGGCACATGCATCGTCAGGCTAGGGAATGCCCAAGTCATTGACGATGAGTCGTCACAGCTACTTTCCCCACATGCAGATGACGCTGAGCTAGAGCGCTTCCTTTCGTCGGCAAAACTGCCCCCAATCTTGGACATCTTCGAACTAGCCCTTTCATGCAAACTAGATGCCGCATTTCCCTGGAATACATCGCTGCGAAACGTGATGTCGATGTCCACGGGGTGTATGTGCAAGAGAGCAAAGTACACTTTTCGCGTCTTCGAGGACGATAACGTAGTGTACGACTCCAGACTCTTCAATGGATCTAGCTCATCACTGCGAGTATTCTCCCGATACTCCGTCAGAGATTCTAGCATCATTTCAATGGGAATCGTCTTCGCGCGAATCTCACCCCTACGGTTCTGTGACCGGTTCTGTCCCCACGACCTTGACATCTGCGCACCCGAGCAAGTTACATAAAAAACAGAATGTCAGTGCTTTGCACAGTTCAGCAATATCATGCCGCAAGACGAATCGTACCGTCTCTACAAATGCTCGAGCTGACACCAAAAGGTCTTCATCCAATTGAGTGACGACTGGGTGTAACCAGAACGAGCAATGCTTAAAATAATCGGTGTTGCCTTGTTCGTTGGACCACGTACAGCAGAAATGCATTGCAGCAATATTCGTCTGGTGGTACTTGCAGTCAGCGCAACTGAAGATATTCTGGCTCAAGATCAGGCCAGTGTTTTCATGTTCCCCGTAGTCAACTCCTTTTGTCCCTCGACTAACCATCTCGGCAAATCCTGCATTGATATCACCAACAGATCTTCGTTGAGTAGGAGTGGGTGTGGCTGCGGCGTTGTTTCCTAAACGGGGGCAGAGCAATTTCGAGAAAGTCGCTTCTTCGCTCTGATTATCGATCTGCAGATCGTCTAACGTGACGTTCATACACATATTCGAATTCAGGCGCGAATACTGAAGGTTGATACCACCCAAGTAGATATACACTAGCTCCATCGGAAATTCGTTTACACACGAGACACCAATTCCGTCCACACGCAGACGAAGTGCCACACCAGACGTGAGTGACCCAAAAGCGCCAGTAGAAGCCTCACTAGCTAATGGAGAATCAGACGACGCCGATGCCGTACTTGACAACTCGTACTTGGTCTCTTTCTCATCAAAATCCTCCTCCCCACCTTCGAACAACTCCAGCACCTTTGTAGGACCATCAGCACGGATGCGAACGATTACATACGTCTTTGAATTTTGGACCTGAGGTGCTAGATCCCACTGTGAACGCGTCGTGTGAGGCATCAATGCATCCTCTGGAAATTCCTCAATGTCGCCAGGTTGATCACTTCGAGTCGCAAGCCGTAGTCGCCTGACCCACATTTTAGCAATCTTGGGGGTTCTAGCTTTTAAATCGTAGCACCTCGTTGGCGTGATGATCGAAAATTGGTTCGACCCAACGACGGCTGGTTTTGCACTAAGGTTGTCGGAGATTGTCGGCGACTCACCGTCTCGCCTGCTACTTGTACTCAGACGGTGTCCGGAGTCCAAATCTGATCCGTCTGACGGATTAACACTGTACCATACCGTTTTGGAGCATTGGAAGCTTCTCATGGGTGCCTGTCGTCGAGCACTTTTATCTTTAGATGTATTTACGGGCGAAAGCAAGCCGAGCTCCATCATTTCTTGTGCCGTCGCAAGTACATGTGCCTTCGTGTGCGTTTTCATTTCTGTCATCAAATGATTCACAAGGTCTTGACCATTCACGCAAATCCCCTTTCGCGATGCTACAGCCGGCCTACTCTCGGTCATCCCGTTCGACAAACTTCTCCGACTCTTCCCGAAGCAGGCTTGATGCAGTCAACGACACTGCAAAGTGTACCAGCTCTCTCAGTCTATCTTCGCTGTCATCGTCGTCATCATCACCGCCATCATTTCCAAGTTGCTTCGAGTCTTTCCCAAAAAGACTATCAGAAATTGATGAGACAAGACCGTTGAGCGAAACAAACCCCGTTTTCGATGGAGCTTCTGGAGCCTTTTCAAAAATGGCGACGCTTCCCACACCGGGTACATTTGATCCTGTCCGCAAGTCCACTACCCCCAGGAGCTCCTGATCAGTCTCGTTAGCAAAATAGTACAACATGTGCTCGTACAGCCGAAAGTATTTCCGGTTCCACTTGAGCATACTATCCTTCTTCAGCAAATATCCTTTTTGCTCCGGTTTAAAGAAAATTTCTGACGGCAACGAGCGGTGAAGCTGTATGCGCTTATAAGTAGCCATTTCGTCCAAATTGTACTCGCGAACCTCTACGGCATCTTTGTCCGAAATTTCGCCAGTATTTGAAGTCGAAGATGTCACCCGCATAAATTTTACTCGAAGCGAACGAGATGATGAGTTTGAGTTGCCGGGAAAGACATGCTCCTGTGTCGAAGATAACGACTTACCCTCGGTGCCGCGTAAATAATCCCAGGAGTACGGACACGAAGATCGAGGTAGCAATTCGTCGTAATCTCTGTCTCCGCCCCAGTTTGCCTGCTTGTACTGTATCCTGAACGATGTCATGTTGTCGATTCTGTAAGGCGGGAAGCGCCTCGACTCTCCGCGGAAAACCAACGCGACGGAACCACCGACCAGCTCAATCTGACATACTAAAATATAAATGCGTGAGGGATGAGCTCGGTCGCGGAGCTTCAAATATGTGGTTCCAAGCGAATTAATACGGAAACTTCCGCTCCAGCTGTACTTGTGTAGTAGAGTCACTTCCAGTAGCTTTTCTTGTAGCGCGCTCGGCCAGTGGAATGGCACGAGCTCATTCGCGGCTAATCGCATAGTTCGTGGAACCCCGCATTGCCGAAACTTGATAGTCTCTTCCGTCTTATTAATCAAGATGTAACGAGGGACTACAGTTGCTATGATTGTCTCTGAAAAGCGCCCGCTACCGAAGCAACTCCACAGCGCAACTTCCAGGCTTTCGTTGCGAAGATCACTTTCTTCGTCCTGGTCACGAACCTCATTGGTGAGGCTGATGACCTGTGCGACTCCAGAATTTCCCATAGCATTGCGGTTAAGACGAATGGTATCAGACCATGGCGACGATCGCGACTTGATTCGCAAGACATCCCAATGCTTTCCCCCGGAACTGTACGAAAGCACGTCGCTCCAGGGCATGGGGCGAATTTGCGCAGGGTTTAAAGGCTTAGAGCTCGTCGCAAGCGAGCGCGGCGTAACATGGTGTGAGCTTGCTGTACTAGCTTCGTCGTACAACCGAATGGTTGTTATCGTAATTTTATGACATAAGTGAAAACCGTGACGACGACCTCTATTCTCAGTGCGAGAGGTCATCGGAATCGGTTGACCATACCACCTTTCGCCCTCCGGTCGGCCTGCACTTCGAAGTGAGACAAATCGCGGTAGTACCAGCTCGTAGAAATCAAAGTCATCGATATTTAAGACGCCATCGAAGCCACACTTTATGCAGACGGAGTCGAAGACTTCCGACATGAGAGATGTTGAATCGACTTCAACCACGACACAAGCGAAGCGGTTGTGCGGTAAGTACACCTGTAGCCCGTGTGATTTCCTCTCGTGTACTGGTTTTGTTGGCGACGCCCCGTTAAGTAGCATAGCTCCTATAGCTCGTGTTGATATCGGATCGTAGGATAGTGATTCTTGTGGGCGCGTGGCCTCGAGTTCTCCTGTGAATGAGCGTATAGGCCGTCCGCGCACCGATGCTGGAACCCCAATTAGTCTGATGTCGTGATTCGACGGTGTTTGAAGTCGTTGTAACGACCGGATTGCGCGTACGGACGGAAGAGGACCTGGTGTTTGCTGTTCATCTAGTACTGAAGAACTATCGACATCATCAAGCTGAAAATCTTCGCTCCCTTGCCTCTCAAGGTAAGGTGCTTTCGTTTCCTTGTCACAAATGGACAGTGAACCATTGTCGTCAGTAATCGCCTCGGTGCTCTCCATTACATCTAAGCCTGTTGGTAGTTCCTGGGACATTCCAACAGAAAATGAGATGCTAATGTCCCCTCGGTGCATACTCGCAAGATTGTTCTTGGATTTCTTCTGCTCGCGCGACGACTTTCGCTTGAGCAACTTGTACCAATTAAAAGCTGCGGCTCGTTTGCGGTCTTTCAAAATACTGTCGACCTTTACAGCCGTAACTCCAAGACAAGTGTCAAGCCCGTAGTGTACATTGCGCACCTCGATGATAATGCGCGCCAAATCTAATGTCCTTAATTCTGGCGGAAAGCGGAGGAGCAACGTATTCTGGAGGCGGTCATCCCATTGAGGTGTTAGGCCACCCGACGGGCTTGGCTTCGTAGTAGCAGAACAAACCGCGACCATCTCGGGCTTCTCCAAATACATGTCTTTCGGGTCCTTGAGAGCAAATAGAGACACTCGTACGTAAGGACTCTGTGAACCAAAGTACTGCGCATTATATAGCTCCCTTGCTTCGCGGATAACAACATTAAGGGCGACTGGGATAGTGGAAGGCTTCACCTTTCGTAGACATGTCAATGGAGTCTCGCGGGCTCCCCCTTCGCGAAAAGAAACTGAGCGCGTTAACAAGTTCTCACTTTGCTTTTCTACCGAAGCTGGACGCTGATGAACATACTTGAGTACATTTTCGAGTCGTTTGGACGACGAGCTTGTTGAGTTGCAATATTCAAGATCAAGATCAGTGTGGTTAACGATCCAAATCGAACAGAACACGATGACATCGCGTCCGGATAGCTTCACTTGCAATTGCAAGTTGGGCACATTGCTCTGTTCGCCAGCAATATCGCGATCAAATGTGCGGCCAACCAACTGCACGGGTTCAGTAGTCTCTTTGTAGGGCATCGAGTAGGTGGACGTCTTCGGGTTGATGATCAGTTTCGGAGCACTCCAGCTGTAGTTCTCCAACCGAAACGATACGAATAGCACTCCCGAAGAATCGATTTGAAATAGAGGAAGCACATTTCCCACTGCTAATACTCCTTCTGCAATCAGCTGGAGAGAATCATTGAGCAAACGATACGCCATTGCCGTCGCCAGTCGATTGTGAAGCGTGAGAAATGGGGACACAGAGAGGTAGTAGAGACTCGAGTTAGTCGCTTCGTAAAGTCCTCGCCGCTGGCTCGCGGATCGAGCTTCATTTAACTCGTAGCTCGCATCTCGCCGTGGGGTCATGCGCTGGCACCGAGCTGGCGGACCAAACACGCGGAGAAAGTCGTCTTCCACCTTATCACCTGCCTCCTCAACTTTTGACAAATTCCCCACCATTTCCTCCGTAGGTGAGGGTTCCTCTGTACGTGAAAATGTAGCACGCATCAAGAAGTACGCTTCCACCTCGTACGTACACTTCCAAGTAGGCAAATCCCGAGTGATGTAACCAGACAGCGGAACCGCCGACGAAAGAGAAGAAGATGAGACCACTTCCAGCGAATTAGCGGCGTTTTGCAATTCGTCCGTCGTCGAAAACGTTTCGAAGCTACAGGTGCAGTTTCCAGCGCGCACAAAGCGCTTCGTATTGACGGTTCTTGCGGTCCGTACTTCATCTCCCAGTTCTTCCAGGCTTGTTGTTAGAGGCGCATACTGTACATATGGCGAAGGCCTTATACTGATCTTACTCTGAGGGTGTACAAGCTGAAGAGGAATATGGCAGATCTGTTCACGGTCGATGACCCACTCTTGAATACAACCGCCTTCGCGGGGTGAATATGCCCAAACCATCAATGGTACAGATGTTCGGTTTTGCAGGACCACCTGGGAATGTAAACTTATCAGCTTGCTGCCATCCGCTTGGATACTGATCTCTGCAACCAAAGTTGGTGGAGTGATTTCTTCTTCCTCGCCAATCTCAAAGCCATCTGAATCATCATGACTCGGCGTTTCACGAAGGGGAACGGCAACGTGTCCAACCATATCTACTACTACAGGGTTCACACTCACCCACTTATTACCATTCAGCCACACGGAGAGTGTGTGATTTACAGTAAGAGCCTGGCGGTCAGTTTCCCGCAAAAAGCGATCAGCTGAAGCGCTATCGAAATTTAGCATATCTCCTTGCTCTCGGCAGTCGACGGATACCTTTCTGTTGTCGGCGACGACTTGTTGAATGATGGACCCCATCCCGCGCCGGAAACTAAATGTAAGCTCTGAACCTGTTTTGTTTTCGACCCAAAATGGAGCCGTCGACTTCGAGCCAGAGGTGACGAAATCTGCTCGAGTCAATGCTTCTGAGGACAACAAAGGCGCCATAGCCGGTGTCATGTTCAAGTTGACGGTGATAGGCAAGTTCGCGAACACTTCAATAAGACTATTTTCCTCCAGCGCACGACGAATACGCATCTGGACGACAAAAGGTTCCACGAGAGGCTCCCATCGATAAATACTGTTGTTGAAGTAGTTGAAAAGTAGTGTGGTACCTATAGTGGTCGAGTAGTCTTCATCTTGAATATACTCGCACACAATATCTTGCATATGGAGATCAGCGATGGGAATGCCCAAACTATTGTTCACGAGTACCAAACGAAGTTCACCAACATCACCAAGGAGCTTATCAGCCACATAATGTGGCGCAACGAGTACAGCAGGAGCGCTGGAAGCACCACTGGATTCACTTTCCCCTTCGTTGGGCGAGTGTCTGATTGGAGCCGAGCGGCTGGGTGGTGGGATGCACCGCAGGTAATTGTTTACAATGTCAATAAATAAGTTTGCGTCTTGAACAGAAAACCGTGTTTCTACTGGAGCTAGCACGAACGAATTACGTCGTGACAGGGTCGTCACACCTTCAACGAAATGATCGACAACCAGAAGAAATGAGTTCGACAGTGGAAACGACGCATCGATCTACAATAGGCACAAAACCCACGTTAGCTTCCACGTTTGGCACACACAGACAAAACAGAATACGTACCTGGAGATCAGGAAGCTGCGAGAAATATATACCATGCTGGTCAAATTCTAAATGGCACTTGGTCATGTCTGTCATACCCTCACATTTCTGTAGGCCCGAGTATGCAATTACGACATCAGTCAATATGACTAACGCTCGCGCGTCAGGAGATTCGAAATCCTCTAATAAAGAGAAGAAGCATCCCGTTGTAGACATAAAGAAGTCCACCTTTTGCCAATCCGGAGGCGGCGGCGGCATAAAGCCGACATCAAAATCAAGAAACTCTCCCTCAGTGAAAAATGGAGTCGCAAAAAACGCTACGATATCGTGATACGCTGGATAAACACCAAGAAAATTGGCGTTTCTCACTTTTAAGTCGTAAATGGCATCTGTCCAAGTCATTTTTTGACTGTACTCGAATTGTGGACCGTCTCCAGCAAGTGGACGAACAACTTCAGACGCTTCCTGACAATGCATTGGCCGCACGTCGACCGCCGTGAATGTGAGTGCCGTTGCATTGACCTCCAGGGAATCGTCCGTCCGCAAAGTGAATGTTAGCTCAAGCTGCTCCCACAGCAGATCGGCAATAGGACAGCCAGTGCCCGTGATTCGAAGCGCAGCATCCGCGATTTTCACAAGGACCTTAAGCCATATTGCATTGCAGTACTCACTGCTATCGTGGAGTCCTCCACAAGTGGCACACGACGGGCAAGTGTCTTCTCTGACGACTCGTGAGACTTCCTCCACATTCTCGTAGATCACTCCCAATAAAATTGCATACTGCTCCGGCCCAGTTTCTACGCTAAACTCATTCATCGATACACTGATCCCGAAATATGTACTCAATGTTGCCTCGTACAAGCTCTCTGGTTCCAAATCGATGCAACCAGTTAAAAGCGAGTGATGGAAAAGTGGTGGCTTGGAATCACGAGTAGTTCCACTCAGGTCAATGAGCTCAAATTCAAAAAGCCCCGATGATGATGTTGACATGTCTGTATCTCCGCAGTCTAGTGATACGACGTTAGAGCCCGATGCGACTCGTGCATCATGAAATTCAGCATCCTCAGACCCAAACAATGGTGTCAGAAGATGCTGAGACATACTGGCGACATCAAGGCGTACTTGCTTCATTGAGTCTGATCGTGCTCTCGCATCGCTTTTCGGCATGCTTGCCACAAATTGCAGGCTATCGCGATCACCGCCGTTAAGCGCGTCTCCTTCACTTATTGCTCCATCGATTGCATCATCTACTTTGCTAAGGTATTGCGTGAGCAGCTCCAATTGCTGATCCAGTTGGACGATCTTGTTGTGGATAATCTTCACAGCATTTTCAGCTGCTGGCAGAGCTAGAAAGTCTTCGTGAAGGTAGTTCTGTGCTTGTTGCGTTGCACTCCGGAGATCGAGGTACAGCTGGCTTCTATTGCTTAGGAAACGGGAGCGCTGGTTTTTGATTTGCCGCCTCAAATTTCTTAGCTCGGTTCGTTCGTAAAGCTGAGCCTTCGCTGCAGAACCGCCCACGTATGTTGGGCCGTCCGGAAAACGTGTTTCGTCGGCAAACGTGCCATTCTGCAAGAAATCAGATGTCGAAGGGTCGACACAACGGCTCCAGAAGCGAGCATTCGTCGAGCGAAGAATGATGCTATCTCGCGAGAACGAGCTCCGCGGAAGTGCAAATACCAGGTCATTTCCAACCACTTCAAAACACGCATTCTTCAATTCACTTTTAGTGGTCTCCTTAGCGCCAGCCTCATGGTTACTTTCGATTACCACCGCATCGGCATACATATGCAATAGCTCATGTAATGGCACAGACAGCGCTGTAGCGTCCACCCCAAAGCTTTCAAATATAGAGCTAGCCTTTTCAAGGCTCGGGCATTTACATCAGCGGATTACGTAAAAGCTCGAAAACATGGTCGAAAATGTAGTGGTAAAACTGTTTGAATACCCGGTGGAGGTATACAATGCAAACTGAGTCCAAGCGAACACGAACCATGACCCTATTGTCAGCACATTCTGGGAAGTTGACCACAAAGTCGACGAGATTTTTCACGCCAACGGATCCTGCGTCAGAAACTCTGTCAAGGACATCTGGGGGCGAGCCAATCGATTGTCGGTTCGACTGCTTTGCTTTCGTTGGCAGTGATCCACTTGGAGAAGTCAAGTCAGTCAACCGCAAGTTTCGCAAGCTACCCTTGACTTCAACCACCGTGCCACATACAGCACCAGACCCACTGACTTGCACAGACACGCTCGAAACTTTAATGCTAGCAATTGTTTGAATGGGAGTCAAGCCATCGAGAGCGGCACTCGGTGTTTGGTCTAGGTGCTTTACTTTAAGCTGCAAGCCATGAGTGACCAACAAACGAACGAGAACCTCGTTATTCGAGCAAGGCAAGTCTTTCAATGACTTTATCGAAGCTTCCGATCCCAGCTTTGACAAATTACGCCGAAAATCATCGAGTGCGTACCCCGCATTGGCCGACAGAATGAAGCCTAGCAAATACCTGTCATAACAATCTCCTAACCATACCCGGATTACTTGAATATTCGGAAGAAAAAGCTCCCCGTACAAGCACTGAATAGTGAAAACAACGCGTGTACTTTGACGACCGGATTGTAAGACTGCTTGAAGGCTCTTTTCTGCTTCTTGGCTTTCGCAAGGGTTTGCTCGGTCACACCGAAGTGTCACACGAAAAGCTGGTGTGTGTAATCCTAACTTCCCTGTAACCTGAATGGTTTCATTATCAGCTTCTCGAAGCGAAATCGATGCTACACTTATGCTTTGGTAATAGGTCGTCGTACATGCGTGCGACAGCCATTCCACATCTTTAATAGACAGTGTAAAACTTGGTTGGGCATCCTGACCTTTACGATTCTCAGCTACGCGAAGTTGAATTTCGGGAGTCCGGATAGACCACTTCGTGCGGCAAATCAGAATCACCTCTGACTTCGCTACGGTATGATTGGGACTTTGAACCGGCCTAATAACGGCCTTGTCTGGCATAAAGAAACTCCACTTTCCTAGTACCCAAGCAAGAGCTTCGAGCTCTGACACTGTCCAATCGATTTGCACAGTGGAAAGTTGAGCCACGTAACGGTACATAGCTGATTCCTCGTTGCTGTCAAGCTCTCGCTGCTCGTAATGAAGTCGTCCATCACGTAACGCACAGTGCTTGCAGCTATAGTGATCCATCGACCAATGCATTCTTGAATGACTCGTTGTCGTCAGCGAGAGGTCGTCTATGGTTGCGATATTATGCAAGCCTTTCACGTCATTCAAATTTGTCTGGGCTTGTATCGAAGTCAGGCTTTCGCTCGCCGAAAACAAACGGATCCTTGAGCGAAAAATACTTTGGACGAACTCATGATCAGACTCGAACGTTTCGACCGACAGAGCCCTCAGCTCAGCACCAAAGCAAAATTGGTCGTGAAGAGCGTACACGAGGCACATCCTTTCCACGTGAATTCCAAGGTGTGAGATGGGTGCAAACCGATCTTCGTCGCACGCACCCGATGTACTTGGGTGTGACAAATTCCACCGATTCCACCAGAGATACACTGGTGCGAAGAGAGTCATCCACACAAGCAGCGTGTCGTCTTTGATGAACATCGTGATACTGCCCAATCGGATGTCCAGAACAGGCTGGTACCCAATAAGACGGCTCTGATAAGCAGGAATGACACACGACATTCGGACGATAGGCGCTTTCACTAATGCTGAGTCAGCACCGTCGCAGCTTTCACTTGCGTGATCAATGATGCTGTAGCTTCCGCTGCACTCACTAACCTCGTACATTCGTAGTGACTGAACGCTAAGCTGGATTTCATCTTCGACACATGATTGCTTCACAGCTGCAATCGTCTCTCCTAGAACCCATATCCACTGCGCTTCTCGTATGACCTCGCTTCCCGTAGCAATAGATTCTCTGGCAGAAAAAAACAGCCCTGCTCCATGCCTTAACTGAGCACGCACGGAGAGACTCGGAGGGGTAATGGCATCCTCAAACTCATCGTCGTCACCATCTTCATCCTCCGCCTCAAGAGTAAACGTTTCTCCCACCACAGCATCCAAACAATCGGTCAACAGCCATTGCTTTGCGTATGAAAGCACCATCAAAAAGCCATCAGTTCGTGACGTCTGCTGCCGTGTCAATGCAGTCAAGCGATCGTATTCGTCATATGGCGCCCTCACTTCAATCAAAATAGCATATAATACGTCAACGTGCTCACGTCCGAAATGCACTCGGGGTTGGTGGACTGGCAGTGCATATTTGTTCGTGCCACACGTGTTGTGAGCAGCACATATGCTGCATTTTTCTGCAACATTACCAGGTTCACAGCTTATATCCACATCCAACTCTACATCGGGGAATGCGGCGTTAACGCTGTGGTAGTACAGACTTGCCTACAAAAATCACATCACGCCATTAGGCAACCTGTCAAAAGTCCATCCAGCACAAAAACACTCGCAGTACCTTGATCGTGCTGCACCACTCGTGGAATAAATATTTTCGATACATATCGGGAGAAACACGATCACAATATGACCCTCTTCTGCTCTCCTTATCGGGATACTCTACATATGCTGCAATGCCTTCAACTTTCAGCAACTACGAGCATAAAACTCTGCATTAGTCGACAGAGCATCCACCGAAACATGAAAAATGACATCCTTTTACCTTGTTTGATTTCATTGCCGCATTGGACTGCAGCGTGAACTCCAATTGCCAGTCTGCATTTGCGTTCATCACACTGACGTAGCCAACTTCTAACGTGCCGCTTCCCGGTCGCTAAACCACAACAACTCAGCAGCAGTCAGACGAAAAACGTCCACCCATTTCGCTATCTCTTCGACAAAAAAGACAACAAAATCTCTCACCGGTGCGAGCGAACTGGGATCACAGTCATACCGAATCTGCACGTCCGACACTTCAATTTGCACGTTGCCAATAATGTGCGACACCAGTTTCGACAAGTACGTCCGATCTACAGCATCGTGCGTTCGTTAGACCTTTGCCTTCCAGTCGCATTACAGCACTCTCCAAAACCTAGTCAATCTGTACCGTCTCCATGTCCATCTTCAATGCTCGTGTCCACAGGCTCTTGTGACTCCTGCGGCTCCGTGTGGCTCGTCTTTGGCGTCTGATGGAGCCACACGCGAACGCCCTGTGCTTTGATCTGCACGGGCTGCGTCCACAGCGCACGCCACGGGATCTTGACGCTCAAATAGCCGATAGCACCCTCGCCGTACGACAGCCTTAGCTGCAAATCCTGGAACGACAGGTCGCCTTGCCATAGACTTAGCTTGAGCATGCTCGAGTCAAAGGTCACAAACTTGCCCAGCAATCGCTGCAGCAGCAGCGCCATCGCATGCTGGAGCATCGTCTTGGACCTCGCGCTGCAACGGTCCTGATCCACTCCTTTGTGTAGTCAGCCAGTCAGTCCGTCCGTCCGCCAGTCCCTTGCCGTTGACCGAGTGAGAACAGACAGACAGTCAGTCAGTCGGTCTTGCCCGTCGAGTATCTTGCGCTCGCTCGTTGCGCCTTGGACCGTCAGAGTGAATGTCACTCCGCTGGTCGTTGCGGTGGACTTTGCCGGAAAGAATTGACCAATCACATCGCGGGGTGGGCGTGGTCGTGAGTCAGTATCGAATTTTCGAATCGCCTTGATAGATGGCGGGGGGCATCGAGACGTGGTACTATGGACTGCCGTATGTCACGCGTTTCTACCTTTCCGTGTGCATTGGCTCGACAGTGCTCAGCACACTGGGCTTCCTGAACCCGCATTCGATCTACCTGGACTTTGACCTCGTGTGGCAGCGCTTCCAGCTCTGGCGCCTCACCACGTGCTTCATGTACCTTGGCAGCTTTAGCTTCTCGTTCCTCATGCAGCTCATGATCCTGTACGTCCGTTGTATGCGTTTTGCTGTGCGGAATTGTGTGTGTTATGTGTATACTCACTGGGTCATGTCCGATACGTTGACACAGGACGAACTACTCGTCTCGACTGGAAGAGGACCCCTTCCCAGGCGGTGGCGGACCTACTGCTGACTACGCGTTCATGCTATTCTTTGGAGCTGCTGTGTTGTGGGTAGGTGTCCAACTTGCACCTAGCCATTGCACCTGCTTCGTTGTCCCAATTATGGACGACCATCTCTTGCCTGAAGGTGCACGACGGTTGGAACACTAACGTTGCTGCTATTGGTAGGTGATGGCATTCTTCATGGAGCTACCGTTCCTGGGTTCGTCCCTCATCTTTATGATCGTCTACGTCTGGAGTCGGAGGAATCCGACGGCGCCTGTCGCAGTCTGGGGTACGTGTGTTTCTTGCGCCCTTGCCCTCCGGTTTGCTTGTGTCGCAGCCACATGGTCAATGTACAAACTGACTTTTGTTGTCGTTTGCATGCAGGTTTCCGCTTTGAAGGTTTGTATCTGCCGTGGGCACTGATCGCCTTCACTGTACTCGTCGGTGGCAACCCGATGACGGACATTCTTGGAGTTGTAGCCGGTCACTTATATTACTTCCTGCTGGAAGTGTTGCCAGCGACCAAGGGCTGGAACGTGCTGCAGACTCCTGCCGTGTTGTAAGATGTCTCTTGCCTCGCACGTTGCCTTGCTCTTGTGCTGACTGGTGTCATTATGTATGTATGTAGCACGAACCTGTTTCCGTCCGTGCAAACTCCTGGTGCTTCTGTCCCGATCATTGGTGCGCGAGGACCCGCTGGCCGTGGCGCGGTTCCTCAGGGAGGCGGCTATGCGTGGGGTAGTGGAAGACCGTTGGGCTCGGATTGAGGGCAGATGGGGTGAATTGTAGAAGGTTGGCGAGTACGCGTGACTTGATAAGGTGGCCGACCGGCTGGTCTTGTTGACACTGTGTGAATGACGACAACCTCTTGCAGTGAACGAATGAAGAGCTGTTTAAACACCTTAACGTGAGACATGCCGCTCGTTTTCGTCTTTAAAAGCCGTTTAATCAGCTTAAGCTTTTTATCCGCAAACTAATTATGTGGCTGGGATGTGCTCGCGTTTGTTTTCCAGAAAGAGCGCCCAATGATTTCGTCACGAAAATAAAACTCAGTTGAATTAATTGCACGGGATAATGATGGTCGTGCAATTAATTTAGTGCAGTCTTGACACAAACTACCTCACTTATTTAGATAAAAGCGCTCGTTCAAACGCGCATCCGTCGCTCAGAGATCATTTAAATGCTCAAGTAACGGCCATGCGAAATCATTTGAACGAGCGAAATATACAAGCACTTGATCCTTGTCGACTTTATGGCACTGCAATCGGCTCATACTCTATCGCCACGCAAATCTGTATTGTAGCTTAGCTCTCGCCATGTCGCTCCACGGCGGATATGTTGCCGGTGCATCACTTTACTACAATGAACGAGAGAGTCATTCTTAATTGTGGCGGTATCACGTGAACCGTGATTACGCGTAACCTCGTTTGCATGTCAAGCAAGCATAGTAAAATCGACGACATCACCTATAACACGAATACTTTATAACGAGGAAGAGCTACCCAGTATTTTTTTTAGTACTGGGCGGGATGGACTATAAACATGTGTGGGTAAAGCTCTGGCCTCCCTTCTCGCAGAATCTGGTAGAAGTGTGAAGTTAATGGAATGCGTACTGATACAATAAGGAAGGAACGTCGATATGTAAGTGAGATCACCAGTTCACGGAGCTACGGCATCATGATTTTGCCCTAGGATACCTGTCATAACGCGTTGAACGCTGTCATTTGAGGTGACATTGCCCAGTCCAACAAGATAACTGTGTGATTCTGGGGTGTAGTTCCCACATGTTGCATCCCAGCAATGTCGCAAGCGAGCAATCGCAAAGCACAGTCTCAGTAAATCTAAATGGCGATACAACAACAGCTGATGACCAAAGCAAGACTGGACGTGTAAATTTGCGGCATTGACGGACGAAGACAGCGTTTTTGAATCACGATATGAAGCGGAGCACCACCAGTTTTCTGGCAATCTGGCTACCATTATCTTCTTTCGCAGAGCTGATTGCTCTTTCGGTCTAAACGTTGGTGTAACGCTACGAGAGCAAATGGTGTTAAGGCAGAATGATAGGAAAGCACTAGCGACCAGACTGGAGGACAACACCAAGCGTGCCAAATGCTACTTCGTTCAAAGATCCGCTCCAAAGACGCCACCTTCTAGTCCCCCATACTGGCTCCAGTTTCTTCGTTTCTCGTGTGCAAAAATCGTGTTAGATTCGTCTTCAGTAAGATCTACTGCGCAACTCTCTGAGCACCATCACCAATCAGTATGTTGCCGTCCACTCTGCTTTGCTACACCTAAATCTCGTGGACGGAGCAAGTACTGATGCGGTAGGCCTCTAGATCCACGTTGCCCACGCGCCGGTCACTGCTGAAGCGCAGCAATCATACTTCGATCCACTACCAAAGAACCTTCCAACACAATTTGCCTCAAGTTTGTCGTCTGAAAAATACTTTTGAAGAACATGTAGTCAGTCATCCTCGCAACGGTATCATGGCCCAGGTGTCTTACGCACATTGATCCCACTAAACTTCTTCTGTGATTCATTCGACACTTGGCGGTACGTCGGCCCGCTTCCCCACCCAACATCGCCGTCATACTCTGCGACATTCATACCATTCGGCATGATACAACAAGGCTCTCATACCCGACTTTATAATCAAAGTCACTTGTCTAGAAGTCGTTCCACACGCATGAGGTACCATTGCATTGAAGTGTGCAGCAATGTTTACCACCCTCATATACAACCGAAATCGGGTAGTGCAAGCGCTCTCAACATGATGCGCTTCATTTGTCAGCACCCGTTCAACTCACTAGCTTCTACTATGATATTCACTATGCGCATTTGCTCACAGCGAGTGGCATGCCATGGCCGAAGGCATGTTCCATGTCACGACTGAATACCGCCAAGCCATAAATTATCGCCCATCAGTCAGGTGGGGCCTGCTGATCCCTCCGGCTGACATCCATACGAAATTGTATCCACCAGATACATCATAACGCGGCTAACACCATGTTCAGCCGCACTTAGATGCCCCTTATCTAAACGTGCTGCACGCCGCATAACCCATCGCACAGGCAGCATGAGCAAACTTTCTTTCCACTTCGCTCCGATGCAGCCCAAGAGTCTGTCTGAACTTCATTTGCCAAAGCGAGGTGAGAAAGCTCTTGAGTTTTCACGGTGTGCTCAGCTCTTACGGGACCAACTTTGCCAGACGTACCGGTTAAATCCTTTTTGAGGCGTACGGAAACAAGATCCGACCATCTCTACCGTACCGAAAATCCCCAGAGACGGCCGTTTGATACACAACTGGTCTGACTGACTTCAGATGAGACCTCGTTTTGCACATCAGTGCATTGCCGACATTATAATACATACAGCGCTTTTTCGCAACGCGGTGCAAAGCGAACAATTGACTTCACGTCTTGACAAGCGTGGCTTGTACCCGCCACTCCGCATTGTCAAAGAGGGCAAACTAATCAAATCCACGTCACGTCCCTTAGCCACAGTACTACACTGGATATTCAAGAAAAACTCGCTTGTCAGATCGCCAACTCCACACCGAAACACCAGTCTCGCTACTCTGCTACAGCCATCATCCGTACAGAAGCTAGCTTCCATAATCACTTCAACCTCCGTTGTACCAGCAATGTCTTGGTTTGACTTCATCTAAATATCGTCCGTTGCATCGCTTACAAACCAATGCACACCAATCTGTATCAGTACATCGTGAGCACTTCGACCTCACCACAAGTACGTTATAGTCTTGTACTCCGCAGTCCGGATCTCATCACCAACACGTCTTGTTCCTTCTAACGGCCTCCATAGAATATCCCAACTAAAGTCGGCCATCCTCGATCCTCCAACGTCATAATATAAAACACACACATACACACGTTCACTTGAGTTGCCTGGACTCCGTCACCTTCGTGTCCGGTCCAACTTCCTCCCACTCTCATCAGTTTCACCCACTCGCTTAACCTACCATCGCAGCCGGTCAGCCATTTCCCGCACAAAATCTCCTCAAGTCAGACAAACGGACACACTGGCAATTACTGACTACTGAAATAGCACAAACCAAATAACCGTCGATAGTCGGCTTGACTGACTAAGGTATCCTGCTGGTCCTTGGTTCTGCTTTTCCTCCAATCACCGCACACCATTCTCCACCCATTCGGGTTGCAACGACTTGCTGGCCAGCCAGCCACCTCTCGCCCGCGATGCCGCACCCGCGCTTCCCTCAGATCGAGATCCAAGAGCTCCGCGACGACTTCATTCGCTTCGAGTTGTCCGAGACCGATGCCAGCGTGGCGAACGCGATCCGCCGGGTCATGATCGCCGAGGTGCCGACGTTGGCGATCGACCTCGTGAGCATCGAGGTCAACAGCTCCGTCATGACGGACGAGTTCTTGGCCCATCGTCTCGGCATGATCCCGCTCAACTTTGACGGCGGTCTAGAGAACTTCAGTCAGCGCTTTGTCTACTCGCAGGACTGCGACTGTGACGAGAACTGCCCGAACTGCAGCGTCGAGTTTACGCTGGACGTCACGGCCGACAGTGGCGTCGTGTCGGTGACGACCGAGGCGCTCAAGTCGTCGGACCCCTACATCCGCCCCGTCAATTTTTCTTCCGAGGAAGAGCTTAATAATACTCAAGACAGCGGCGTGATCATTGCGAAGCTCGGTCCCGGTCAGAGACTGCGTCTCTCGGCCATTGCTAAGCTAGGCGTGGGCAAGGAGCATGCCAAGTGGTCCCCCGTGGCTGTTGCAACGTACATGTACGACCCGATCATTACGCTGAATCAAACCGTGCTCAGTACGTACACACCCGAGCAGAAGGCAGAGCTGTACAAATGCTGTCCGACGGAAGTGTACGAGACGGACGAGAACTACGACCAGGTTGAGAGATGGAGAGATGCAGTGGTTTTTCTCTGGCAACTGGTTGTTTGAGCTCCTGACCAACCGACGTGTGCTGCATGTGTGCTTTGCAAATGACGCAGTTTACGGTAGCAGATGCGATGCGATGTATGTACTGCGACGAGTGTGTGAAGCTGGCTGACTCGTTCAAAGACAACCCGGAAGACGACTCGGCCGTGACGGTACGTATGCGAGAAGACAAGTTTATTTTCTCGGTTGAGGTGCGTACTACTGATTGCTGATGCTTGGGTCGTTTGACGTTGCGCCACGGAGAGGATTTCTGTTCTCACCTGTGACTCCTCCTGTCTGTGTTTCGTTCGTCGATGCAGACTACAGGACAGTTGAAGCCCGAAGAAGTGGTCATATGTGCACTAGACTTGATCCGCGAGAAGTTGTCATCGCTGAAGCATCAGTGCTTGGAGCTCAGTCAGGACGATCAGGGTTCGTCAGCGCCCATCACACCGTTCGGATAGAAGAAGTTAGCGACGCATGGGCTGGCGTTTAGCCAAAGATTGGTGTCAAATGTGGCGTAGCTGACTAGACAGCGAGGGCAAGTTGCTGGTAGGCAGCACCCATAGCACGAATTTGCTTGCATTCAGTGCACATGGACGCACCCTACCCAAGTGGGGTCTGCACCGATAGTTCGTGCTTGCAAAAATACGCCAATTTATTCGCACATCTGGAATTGTAGCGCACCTACAGAGCTCTGCCATGTGTATAATGGGGCAAAATCTCAAGACTTCCGCCCAGACTCAGCGAGTTTTCTAGCAGCGCTGACTCCGCTGCACTATTCTCGTGTGGACTAGCATAAGCGCATTCATCACAGACAGCAAGTTAGCATCGGCCCCGTCAAACGCACGTCCAAGTTTCCACTTACCTCTTGCTTGCGCCAAACGCAACTTGGTCGCACAGCGTTCCAAGTCTTGGAGACTTGTAGACTTGCAGAAGGTTTCCAAGTAAATCGGTCGGGTGGATGTCGTTTTTGGAAACACCTTGACAGGTACACAAGAATGCTACATTCTCATGAAGCATACATACTCCACGCTCAAACCCATCGCTGCCATCGGGGTAAAGTGTGTGACACCCAGAGCCTTCCCTTGTGTTTCCAATCGTCGAAAAGGATCCAGTAAACTCCATCGGATGCGGGTATGTGATCTTCAGGTACTTGACAAGACAATGCAGGAGGTGAATTACTTTGCCAAGTGCCGCAGCCACCACTTCAGGCGGCACACTGCCATACTTGCCCGATATTGGTAGTGGCAGGCCTACAATCGTTCGGAAGAACACAGCGACATTCGACCTTGTGTGGCTGCAGTATCCCTGTTCTCGCAGAGCACCCTTGTGCTCACCAGGAAGCTCACGTGGTGCCTCGTCCTTTTCTCCTTCCTCTCTCTTCCCTATCTCTGGGGTCAAGGCAAACAGCGCAAACAACTCACGCAATCGATCTCCCCTCACTTTTGCCGCATTCTACAGCATCGCAAACAAACTCAGCGTCTCCTCGTTCCGCCCCACCCTGGGTTTCAACAGTGTGTACCTCGTCTGCCCACTGGACCTGATAGTCGAGACACTCGAGCACAGGCGAATACAGATTCTCAGCTCGTTCCTTCTCCCGGTGCAAGTTCTGACGTGCGTCGTCGATCTGGAACGTCCGCTCTTCGAGCCTCGACGTCCGCTCAACGACCGCAATTCTCTCGGCACAAAGCTCTTCGCGGGTCGTCATGACCCGCTTGGACAGTTGCTCGATTTGCTTCATCCACTGGTCCAAACGAAGCTCGGCATTCACGAGAGCGGTTTTCGTCTACGGTCATAACCAGCAACGACAGAGAGGGGGTTAGCTAGTAACAAATGCTTGGCTTAGCCTACCGTCCGTTACGCACGCTCAGCGCGACCTCGGTCTTCTTGCGCAGCACAGCCACATCCGCCTGCAGTGCAGCGAGCATGGTACGACGTTGTTGTAGCATGGCGGATGTACAGTTCGCGCAGGAGAAGAGATCGCGACGCCGACGACACAGGGCACAATCGCGCTTGTCCATTGTGCTGAGACGCTAGGAGAATTGTGCGGGACTGTGGCTGCTGCGATAGAAAGTGTGTGTATTGATTGGCTTGATCGCCCGAGGCGCTAGATGTGGGACGATGGGGTTGAACACTATGGTGAACATTTGGTGAACAGTATGACCAAAGCACTTGCCTCCATACAATCAGGAAGTGAGTCATCGAGCCGCTACAGTTGTGCGACCGCGCATGGATGTGCCGGACGGGCAGGTACTCGTCTGTCACGTTTTAGTCGACGATGTCAAGAATGGAGTGAACGATCAGCAGGATTCGGACGATCAGCATCGTGATGGCTGTGGCTGTGTATGGTCAAACGTTCGGTTGTGTTTATCGCGACAACATGGACACGAACCTGTCGTGTCACGATGGTAAACCGGTGCGCTGTAGCTCGATTTGACGCAGCTCGATGATGTATTCCTGCCTTACATGGTCACATGCAAAAAGTGGACTGGTTTGACGATCGAACATCTCGACCACACGATCGTCCCCAACGACACTTCTTTGTTGGAGCTGCTGGAAGTCGAGTCGAGTACATCCAAATATACAGGAAGCAAACGATAAACTGATCCAGAAGACGCGTTGTAATCGTGCCCTGTGCAAGTGTCGAGTGCTTCCGGTCGTATTTACAGGCACTCGCTGTTTAAACTTCACTATACCAGATCTTGCACGTAGTAGACATTTGTAGCACCTTCGTAAAGTCGAATACAATGACCTGTTGCAACCAGGACATTATTATCTTCTGCGTATCGGTCAACGGCGATGCAGCCGCTTGGGATCCTCGAACCTTTACTTTTAGCAGATTTGCACTACGATAAGGAAGAACGGACGTGCCCAGCAGAGCACAAAAGTCAACTAATAGTCGGCGAGGTGCTCGACCGAACCTTGACGTCATTTCTTCCAGCAGTAGCAATGCGTTTGCGGTGTTCGTGTCCCATGACTGCGATTGTGCCGATGAAAACCACCAGAATTCCAGAGCGTGTGTTTGCAAGTCGTGGCATGGAAATCCACAAACAGCAACAAATGATAGCAACACCGACACAGTGTGTGCAGTTCATCTACGACCGTGTACTTGTGGCTCTCTTCTTCGGTACGTGTCTTTCTAAAATCGTCATCTCCACCACCACCACTACCACGATCACGGTACTCATCCTTTTTCATCATCCTCTCACCTTCCTCTGCATCTTCACGCCCAGTCTTCGGGTTGTTGCAGTTTCTGCCACTAGATTGACCTCACATTGCTCATAGCATCTATGCAATACCGTCGACCATCTTCGGTCTTCTTGTCCACGTGTTCTAGACTTACTCGGACATGCCTGTCGCAAGTGGCGCCACCGGGTAGGTACAATACTACAAGCAATCGCAACATGCCAAGTTATGACTCCATACTTGCCAGGATTGAAAACGAATACAAAGCGCCTGCTTCTAGTTTTGCGCTTCGTGCGGCTCCATGATTGCCGAAAGACGTGGTTGCTCGATACAAAATCATACATTGATGAGCAAACGTGTCGACGTCGCAAGCTATAGAGAAAGATCAGTTCATGCAGCACGCAAACAAAGCATGATGTGATACTGAGGCAAGACCAATGGTAAAAAATCAGAGCGTGTGGACTGGTCTCCCTCTTTAGGCTCTGACGATCTTGAAAGGGTTCCAGGCTCCATAGTGTGAGCTCTAATCCAGAATTCGAAGCGAGAAACTTTACCGATGTCGTGAGCAAACGATAGTTGAGACTAATGGGCCTAACAAGTCAGTACCACCGTCGCGTTGTCACATTTTGCAATGTTTGGTGCAAATGATCAGCTGCTGTTGCTGCTACGTCATGTTGTTGCTGCGTCATGACTGAAAATGAAAATCGCAGCATTTGCAAAGCCGCAGCATATTCATCGTTGCATGGCTCTATGTTCTTCAAGGTTAGTCTGCATACCATGGCAACACAGATTGACACGCGGGTAAAGCACTCCAACAGTAGGAACGAGTCGGAAGTCATAGTGTTGCGGTCAAAATGAAATCCGATACGAAGACTTGCTTTCGGTATTTCGTTAAAGCTCAATGGTTCAACGCAATGTACTCGCTGACTCGCGATGAAAAGCACATGATGCAATAGAAAGTCACCAAAGTGAGGCGTCGTAGGATGCACACATGGTTGCACGAAGCGAGAACGTGATATCCACGGAGACCGAGGCCACGGACTTGTTTCTTTATGCCGTGCAAGAGCTGGTGTAGGCTAGAACCAAGATCGTATGTAGGCATTGCACTAGAAACGAGGCCAAAAATGCACAATATCAAGCGGTGTTCTTGCTGCAGCAGTCTCAGACTTGTCCAGAAACCTACCACTTTCCGTTTCGATCGAGCAACATGCTTATGCAAGCAGCATGTCAACGCACTCAACCGGGTACTTGAAAAACCTGTTATTCCTTCCATCACGTTTCTACTGCAGATGACTCCGACGCGACGCAGCACCAAACGCCAACATCGCGTACTGCAAGCACACTGTCGAAAGAGAACACATGTTGTTGTTTCTTGCATCTTAATTCACGAATTGTGTCCACAGCGCTTGTTTGTCGGTCCTCTTGTCTTTTGGCCATTCACAGTAATATTAAGCACTCTGTCTGGAAGATTCGGCCGAATACCAAAACGTGCATGCTGGCCCGATATCAAGTCATAAAGAACATGGCCAAATAGTCATCCAATGGTCAAGAACTTCGTGTGATAAGCAGCAATCTTGACCCTATCAGCACATTCCAAATCCAAATCCAAATCAGTGAAATTGAAGATTGGATTCTTGTCAGTATTAAATCTATTCTTGCGTGTTTGATGAGTTCGTCCTCAATCTTGATGGTGCAGTCGAAAACTTTTTTTCATACCAGAATAATCAGTTTGAGTTTATCATCACTGAAGCACCGACCCAGACACGTTGTCGTATCTGTCTAGGCGTAAGGATTCTTCTCGCCAAACTCTGCAGTGTGTTGTATCAGCGTATCCACGATTTTTCACGCCAGGTCTCTCGTCCTCACGTCGATCAGGCCGATCATATAGAAAACTTCAACGATGGATAACTAACCGCCCACCTCGCTCATAAGCAACATAGCATCAGCAACGCTAGCTCCAGCTGCTTTACATCGTGCTAACAGATGCCGCTTTTCTTCACAAAATCCAAGATATTAAAAGTTTGAAGGCATCACCAAATGCGCCAACAAATGACTTTACAACCGAGCACACCTTATTGAGCTAATTGAATGAACCTTGCACCGCTGAAATTGCAAGCGTGTGTGCGTCCAACTAACTCACGTACAGGTAAGTGCAGAGGAAGATTGCTAAACGGAGTAAGAGTATTGAGTAAAGGCAAAAAGTAGAACTGTATTTAGTATGGTTGAATCTTTTAATAAATCCCTAAATTTGACTTCTTTTGACCATGTCTGAATGCAAACATGCATTGTGACTATCTGCCCACCACTCATTGCGTGCTTCTGTCGTGGCTAGACTTTTATTGGTTGATATCTTGGTCCTATATTAACTAATGAGCAGTGCATTACATCTACGAAGCATTAGTAGTTCTTGGGATGACATTGTGAGATATAATGTTTGCCCTAACATACTATTCATACTGAAATTTACCTTGTGTAAATTATCATGTAACGGAGACATCCCGTTACGTCACCCTCCCTTAACCTTCAGTCACATTAGTGACTGATTGATGATTGAATGACTCGTTTGAGTGACCCTGGGACAGGTAAGCACTTGTTGGCCAGTCCATCCATACTTTGTTCTCATCGCATGGTAAACAAGTTCATGTGGTGTGCAGCCAAAGATGATGGGAACGCATCCATAAGAATCCGCTCCACTGCCTCGAGGGAGACTAGATCACCCAAAGCAGCTGAAGTATGTTTGTATGTTGCTTCCACGACCCAGTCTGCTGCAGTCGCTGCTGCAGGCGCACGCGGTAATGCACCGCGTGACATCGGAGACTATGAGTTTGAGATCATATACTCTGGCAAGTCTGACGATGAGCTCAACTGAAAAGTGCGAAGGCCAAGGATGAGCCAGAGTCGGCGAAACTTAGTCGACTAAGTCGGCTTCATTAAGCGGTTTAAGCCTCGCAGAGCGTCGTGACATCTTTGGAACGTTCGATGGGTCCGACTCTCTGTCGCCGAGACGGGATCGTTCGGACGACAGTGGCCATGGCCACCGGGACGATATTGACGGTGATGCATGCGATAATGCATCATAGTCCGGGTGATCGGGATGATCACGGTGTCCGTACTTCTGTTACATTAGGCAAGGGGCTAAGGAATACAAGTTCTTGCGCGTTGCTCCTGAGAAGAAGCCGTGGGTACCTCCTCAGATAGTATTACCTCTTCTGTCTGCACGACGAGTGATCGTTATCGAATCAAATAGTTTAATTCATTAGGGCTTCGTGAGCTTGATCCTAGTGTAAGTAATATTTGCGCAGAACACGACGTCGTCATCGATGCACTCTATAAGTAAAGATGGTATAGTGAGGATCACAAGCGTGCTGGTCTCTCGTTATTTTAAGCATGGAACGCTTTCATCCACAGCATTGGTGAGACTAGGCGTGATGCCTGGATAAACAAGCTATTGCTAGCTCGAGATCGGGTATAGAAAAGGACCTCTACCAGCGCACGTTCTAAACTGCATCGTTTGTCAAGAGAGGCCAAGATACTATGACTCTCTTGAAGTAATACGTGCCAACGTTGTGTGAGAAGACTTCACACAAGTTTCAAAGAAGATCTACTCGATGACCGACCCCTGGTTGAGGGCACGTGTTACTCAAGAGATGTACGAGGGATTAAATAGTTTTTGTAATACCTCTACAAGCACGCTGGGCGTTCATTTCCCGATGGGCCTTGTTCGGCATTTGATGCGCCCAGTATTTACTGCTCTACAAGGCCCAAACATCAACCAAAAGTTGAGTGAGAGGGCGGGGCTCCTAATTTTCTGCCGAGGGTGGAAACCCGCACCACC